AAGCGCATTCCTACACCACACAAAGTAACAGGCTTATGATTGTATGCACCAATAATATCCCGATTTATTTGGCAAAGCAGCTCTGCCAATACGTTTCCTTGTGAAATACTGAGTCTTGCGATATCTTTGCACATCAGATCCTATTCAAATTACAATTTGCATAGCCAACAAAATCAGAACGAATGTCATGATTATATCTGTTTAGTTCTACTTTTCCGAGTCTTTCAGTAAAGAATCGCTAAATTTCGAGCGCGTAACCGCATACTGCACCAATTCTTGGAGACCTTTATGTCAGGGATTATCCAAAATGGTTTGAGCTTTGTGCTTACTGAATCTTGTTTTTTAAATATTTCATTAGACATGCAAAAATCATTCTCAGAAATCCAATTGATCCATTTTACACTAATTTCTGCGCATTACAAATTTCATTTTTTTGCTGAGAACTTGCAAAATGTGATTTCGTCTGACTGAAGATTGTTTATTTTCGAGTTAACGACATTTGCAGTTATTTTGGGAGTAGTTTCCTAGGTAATAAGATGTTATTTTTAATTTGAGCTCGCTTTATGATCTAGAATAAACATTTTATACAAACACAGTAGTTAACGTAACTTATAGAACCCGAACTAGAATTCCGAAACTGTGTTTTGGTTAGAAAAAAGTACTTAAGGGGAGTTGTGACACTGAGCATCAGGCAACGCAATTCTAGCATCATTCAGTCATATCACAATTCTGACGCTTGAATAAGCGTCTCTCTGGTCACTTATATGATTTACACCAATCAAAACCACTGTGCAATTGGTATGATCCCTCATCGTTGATTTTTGCCGACATTTTTGCCCAAGACCTGTTTTTGCCAAAAAAACCTTACCCGCAAATCACGTTTCTACGCATAATTTGCAGCAACGTATATCTGTACACTATGCAACTTTATGGGATTTGAAGTGCCGGAAACTTTTATTCATATTACATCTTATCCGTTTTGTTTTTTCATGTTCTTTGTGAAATATGCACAACTAAATTGGAAAAATACTCCGTTAACACACATCTGCAAGTAGGTATATTTTTGCATGTTTCCTAGAAAATATATTTGAATTTACAAAAGCATCGGAAACCGATGGAAAAAAGTTGCACCAATTAATCGACCACTTTTTAACGCAGACGGTCAGAAAGAAGCTCATCGAAAAGACAGCATTCTATCGTGACTGAGATGTCAAGAGATTAAAGTGCATGATGATCAGTAATTACAACACTGTCTAGGTGATCCTTTCCAATCGAAGACGCATCTACAGAATTTGGTTAAGATTTCACGGGTTAGGTCAGATACTGTAATTAATCCTTTTTAAACAAAATCAAATTTCAGACCCTCAGGTAATTCTTATAAATCACGTCTCCTGCTGTTTGTCACCGGAATAAGACATACAGATCTGGCCATGATTTTCAGAAAATACGAATTTCGTAATTTGGTGGCAGAAGCCGCATTCTGCAATTATACACCAAATCACAAAACCACCAGCTGTTCTAATTTAGGAAATTTGGACGAGGTTTGATTGTGCAGACGCACCTGAGTAATATCATATGATTCGCTTACTAAAGGCAAAATTAGTTAACATACCTAGCTTAACCACTCGCTGGCTTACGAAGGGAAAGAGAGCGCAAGCAGAGATCGAAGCAGGCTCAGGGAAACGTGTGAAGGTGCTGTGCACACTCTTTCACCCCCGACACTGCTAATTGCTGGATTGAGAGGATAAGGAGGGCGCAATCACAACTGCAGGGCTACGGAGGGAACCGCGCGGTAATTCGCTGTTCATGGCCACTGTCGTGGAACCGACGGAGTTACACGCCCTCCGAACAATTCCATTAGCAAGTCTACCTGGCTATTCGCTGGATTAGGATAATAAAGAGGGTGCAAGCAGGGCTCAAAGCACGCGCGAGGAAGCGTGTGTGAGTTAATACTTGATGTAACCGAGGCTGAAGTATAAGCACTTCTCCCCCGTGGCACAGTCACTTGCTGGATCAAAACTGTGGGGAAGATGCACATACGTGACATTTGTAAAGTCAACCTACTCGCATCCACTACATTCTTAAGAAAGCTAACCATTTTGGTATCACTCAGGTGGGGCTGAAGAACCAAACCTTGCCGAAATTTGGATTGGCTAATACAGCGGATGTTAAGACAGCATTGTCTCGAAGTTATTTGAAGGCCGTCTGTGCAATCTGGCAGACTGCTTCAGATTCAAGCCACTGGCCACCAGAGGCGAGCTTGATGCTCCCAGTAAAGCCACCCATACTGATGTGCATCCGTCTCAGTGAGAAAGCGTTCTTGCTCGCATTTGACAAATACGGCTTCATTAAGAGGCCCTACTTAGAACTAAAATGTCTTCTCTCTGACCTAATAACATCTGTCCGTATGCGCTGGTATAGTGTTCAGCTGAGAGTGAATGTCTGTAGTTTAAACAATTAATATCAGAAAAGTGCACATGATCGTGGTTCATATGGGATTTAGACAATAAACTCCTAAGTGCTTTATCGAGACATGTTGTGGGCAAAAAGAGAATTAGATTGTACTCCAAAAAACCTTCATAGGACTTTTTATCCTAGCTATATACCCCCGTAATCCAAGCAGTGGTATATAAAAGGACTTAAGGGCGAATCAATATTGTCGTCCTATCCAAGTAAAAACACAGGGATACTGTCAAGAACAAGGGACACAGGAAAGGGCATATTAGCCGTCCTCAGCAAGACTTGCCTAAATCCAGTTATGAAGGAGCTAAAAATGAATAACAAGTAGTCCAATGCTCTAGCATTGGGGCCCCTACCCAATGGCAGCGCACCTTCCGTGGCCCGATCGGTGGGCTCCATTATACCAAATTTAACATCCCCAATCATTACTGAAAGCACAACGGGATTGTTGCCCAATGACAGAGCAATGGGCTACTTAAAGCTCAAGGTCCAAAGGGTGGGATTGAAACTGGACGCCGTTCATGCCTGAGTATGGTATGTCTGGCTGACGGCGATTAAGGAGACAGAAATAACCACCACCGTCCCTCTAGCAGTGCCGATTGTCCTTTACATGCATATACTACTGGTCGCTATGCGACTCTCCGCCAGGGCTTTAGCTCAAACCCCAAGGCACAACAGAACGAGCGCATCCCAAATGCAGACTGGTAATAGTCACTCTACCACATATGACTATGAATAAATAGGTAGTGCTCTGTAGGTATGAGCATTAGGTGCTAATATTAAAACGACAGGTATCATTCGTTTGCAAATAAGACTGAGATATAGCCGTTTGCCAGATTGGGGTTAAAAGTACGGTCTGCGTTCTGTTCAACGTTAGGGGTAGGGGTACTGCCGAGCTATATACTAAGGAAAGTTGTAAGAGATGTGTCAATTACTAGATGTAGGGCTGGACATCACATCTAGAGTTTGATACGGATGTACTGCTAAGGACTGGGCTTAGGTTATGCTATGTTGCAAGATATTCGGAACGGCCTTTTTTCCACTTTGTACATCCCTACGATTGGGAAGACGGTCGCACACTTTAGAGCAGTGGAGTATCTCTGGCACCGTAAGCCCCCGCATGCAGTTATTTCTGCTGTGCGTGCCAATTCTGCCAACGCACTCGAAGTCATTTTCAAAATATTTATCCACACTAAACACACTGTACATGCATCCAACTATGGACTTAGCTAAAAGCGTAGACAACATAGTTCAGCTGAGGGGATTTCATTCGGCAGGTAAACAAAGCTGAACTCTAGAAAACAAAGAGCCTTGAAATAAAGTCAGGCAAATACCATCTCCCAAAGCACGCAAAAAATGAACATCTAATTGCACGCTTCGGTCTTTTACTAGTAAAATAACTATGGTGTGGTAGTAGGAAACTCATACGTTTCTAATGAATTCCAATTTGGTTGGAATGTGAATCAAATGTGAAAAATCGTGTGATTACCGAAACAAAGTGTCCACGGGTATTATTTGGCCCTAAAGCACTGTCTAGGAATTCTCGTAGGAAGATTGTTTGTTTTGCAGTCTGCTCTCGGAAGAAAAGAGAAATCGAATTTCCGGGCCGGTTTTTCGTTCGCTGTCATTCGATTTTACTTTTGACCTCATATCACACACGTAATCGAAAGTTTTCTTTCCACAAGTAAATCTTCTATTCTTCACCAAATAAATGAGATATATATGCCTCAAAATGTTATTATCCAGCTGGTAATTTCTTTCGTAATATTTCCGATGCCTTTAGGCCCACTTATATCTCTGTCGTTTAAACTCGCCTGCGGATTATTATGCGGAACCTACATGGATTTTACCGTGTAGTTTTGTGGCTTCCTCAACCCCCATTCTGTCTAAAAGTACTTGGAGACAAAGATTAGTGAGCACCATGAAGCCATAAAATTTTACTTCTTCTTCGCAAGGATGGATAAAATTGGACTCTGTAGAAAGCTCACAGTTACGATAACAAAAGGATTTTGGCTTATATTTACGGACTATTTGACGTTCTGATGACTAACACCATTTAAAACTATCGCTTTCAGCCCCTGTTAGATGCAAAGCAGTCTGTAAGTCTCCAATTTTATTGGCGTATAATGAGAAAAACTGATTTTGAAATAAAGTAATTTATACTCTCTGGCCTGTTCTTCTGCCTAATCATAGGAGATCTGCTGTACCATGAATAATTTCGACCAAATTAGTGGGCTAAACTCCAAGGACAAAGCTTGCTTCATCTGCACAACGTCGCGCCGTATCAGTTGACTTTTCTCATGGAGGTTTCAGATCAGAAGGTAGTATCCTAATTAACGATGCCCCGTTTGTCGGATGTCCTAAACGGTGTCGGTGACAGCATTTCACTCCGGGGTACCGCAAGATCTTAACTTCCTCAATAATTCCACCAACCGTGAAATCAGTTTTCATTAATAACGTCAGTTAACGAAGCCAGTAGCATCTACCTCAGCAGGACTGATATATGTCTGCCAGTGAGTAATGCTTCGTTGTAACGCGACATGGCAGAAGGTGGGTACGACGAAGAAAGGTTTAAAGAGGGCCAGGAAGGCATGAGGGCTTCGACCAACGCCTTCTACAACCACAAGATTGAGTTGGTCGGCCTTATGGCCACCGCCTCTGCTGTCGCCTCTGCTGTCTTAAGATCTTGCCTGACGCGAGACGCCCGGTTGACTTCAATCCAGTGGCCGATGTCAACCAAGTGAGCCACAGTTGCACTAGAGATTGACTTTTCCGTTGCCTGATTTAGCCAGATTAGATGGTGCTCTCAAATCCTCTTGGGTAGGCGTCTAGTCGTTCGATCAATATAACCTGCTCCACAGAAGCAACTCGAAGCGTAGCTGCACATTGACCCACATTGAATTGCACTGAAGTAAACTGTCATTAACTTTGTTTCTGCCACGTTTGAACTCCCTTAAGCCTCTCCCCAAGAACTACTGTTCACTGGCTGTTATTACTCTCGCCGCTTTACCGAAGCTTGCTTATATTGCTGTACAGGTCTAACGAGGAATAATCAAGAATGTATGTTCGCAGAACCTGACTTCCACAGCATATGAATGTACGATTTGATATGGACTGACTCAAGTATTTGGTCGAATCCGGACGTCTAATCGACTGAAAGCGCAACTTTCAAACAATAATTTTTAAATTTCATGCGAGAATTGCGAATAATTTATGAAACAGCATTAAACGTTGGGGGATTTTGGTCAATACACATTGTTCTCGGCGCATTTGCATTCAATGAAAAATTGCTACAAATTAATTTCTTTGGTCGGATGATGGCCAATATGAAAATTACTTGAGAGGACTAAAATTTATCATATTTCCAATTCAACTGCGATTATACATGTGTTTAATGAACAGTAAATAATTAGATACAAAAGCTCTGCTTTCCCATCATAAATCGAGTTTAACAGATTTTTATATATGTCTAGCATCTAAGCGACATCTGGAGTTCACTGCCCCTCTTTAATTGTGGTTCCTCAACCTAAGAGATTTTCGTAACAAACAATCCAACTACTTTATCCGCGGTTAGTCTGTCACAATATACGAGAAAACTTTGATAAACGATGCCAGGGTACGTACAATAGTTGATTTAACTCACAAAAGTTGGCAAAAATCAAAGCTGTGGTTTCAGTTAGAATGTGTGGCTTAGGCGAGTTTGTAAAACTAAGCAAGTTGTCATGCATGCTAGGATGCGCCTCCTATAGGGGCACGTTTTCAATCAAATGGCAAACTATACCCGCCAAAGCATGATGGTGCAAATATTACGCATTGTTTTCATTTACTATTATGATTATTTCTCAGTTAACCGGATACGTAATTGTAATTCATTTGCATTGCAATTTCTTTCATTATAGCATTACATCAAAGCTCTGCAATAGAGCATTGACAATTTGGCGCGCTTTTACCATAATCTGAAAGAGATGAAATCCCGCATTTACTAGCGGCTGTCCAGTTTGAATGAGGTAACTTGTACTGATTGGTTTCTCACAATCAGTGTGAAGTAAGCACAGGTTACTTTGCTTTCCTTTCCCACGACACTTCAAAACAGTAGCCACCACTGTGATCAGTGCTTTTCCATGTGACTGCTCCCTACAAACCAATTAAATGAGCGATGATCACGTCTTAAATCAAAATCTGCAAGCACACCAGCCGTTAAACTCCTCCATTAGTACTGCTCTTTCGCTTTCTGTAAAGGATCCCTAAAAACTGAAATTTGTAATTAACACGGTCAGTTTGGAAACGTAGAAGACGATGTCAAGTCACAGTACAAAAGTGCAAGTTGTTATTGATCCGGGAACCTATCAATGGCGCCTAGGGTTTGCCGGCATGGACAAGCCAAAAGCAATCTTTTCGACGGATACGAGATATCTGGATAACGTAAGTGTTGGTTTCTGGATGATAGTATGGAGAGACTCATTATCGGTGTATCAACCGGTTTAATTTGAACAGAAGAATTATTAATTACCTATGGAATCTCCTACATTTCTTTCATTGTTAACTGCTGATTAAAATTTGTAGGACGACACCTTAAATAAGAGAGAGTAGGTGAATTCAAATGACCATCGATTCATAAATTTGTAGAAACAGTGAAATGAGATTGAGGGTTCGAGTTTAGATGCTTTTCATTTATTGTATGATTGGCTTTAAGGAGGCCTTGGGAGATGTTCTGGCGAAATCAATGCAGTGAGAGCGAAGTTTCGATTCTTTTATATAACCTGAAATACTCGATTACTGCTGACCGCGCTTACGACAACAGACAGTCCATTGTTGCTCACCCTTGAAGCTACATTGTCCCCGTTTTAACAGAACTTTCTGCATTTTAAGCGGTCGATAAAATGCTTTTGCCATTCAACTGAAATAGCAATGAATTGTTGAATCAAAATAATTTAACTAAACGTCTTTGTCTTTTATATGCCTTGCATTTTTAAAACCTTCAAAAATTATTTACCCATTTTTAAGCATTCTTGTAGCTGGAAGGACGCTTAAACAAAGTCTATTGAAAAGTTTCTCTAAAGGGTCTCAAGAACTTAGGGGATAAAAAATTAATTTCAACCATACATGTGCTACAGAAATTGATTCCAGCAAACCCTTTTGATGTCCAACTTAATAGGTTGATGGCTGATTGAAAAAATGAACCTCCAATTCAGAGAACAACGGTCTTATTGCACAGGTAGCACTATATACCATACTTGACAGTGCAGGTACTAGCTTAAAGCCCATAAACGTATTTCGTTGACATTATGCCGCTATATGACAAACCTACAAGGGGTTTGGTTCATTAGTGTGTTCCCATCGTTCCCTAAGTGCTCTTCTTGTGGACACTTCAGTTTTGAAATTGCAGCTTTTTGACTTCCTCAGAGTTTAATTGTCAACGTGGAGTAAATCCGTTCTATTTGAAACTTAGAGGCTTAGACTGAAATTTTAAACACGTGTCTGGGCTTTTAGTCATTACATCGTGCCGTCAGGCATGGTATACGTGTTACCTACGCATATACTACCGTCTGCCTGTTGGCATTTTGTGAATATATCGCAGTTATTCCGCTGGTGGACTTTAACTGAAATATTCATATCAAACTTCAGTTTGAGCATACACTTCCCAACCAGATTGATCTACTCCAAATTAGCGACTAATGTCTGGAGAAATTAAAAAGCTGTAAAGGCAATCTTAGAATTTCTTCGTCACCCAGCGATTCCGCAGGTTAGGTAACGTCTGGCAAGCCCTGGCTAGAGATATTGCCTTATAAATGAAATATAGTAAACGGACACCTAAAGGGACATGTTGAATGCTCGAGAATCGTCAACATTCCTAAGATTCAAGATGACAAGAAATAAATGCCTCGCCAGCTGAATATTGCGAGCTTTGCAGGGCTGTTGTCTGAACTCATTAGTCATTGCTTCAGTGTGTGTGACTACCCAGGAATAAGGATACTCTATTTTCTGCGTAGTTCAGCCATATGATTGCTCCTTTAAGGTCAAAATATGTGCGAGTGTTGTTTGTACGGCAAAAAATTTGGTTTTCTTTCTGGGCCGTTTCGAGACTACTTGTTTTCATCAGCTACGGACGGGTATTCTAATGTCGCCGCATATGCCGACAAAAATCTCATTGGAATTTACTTATGATTCCTTATTAGGCTTACTATGAGGCATTCAAAAGATTACTTGACCTGCAGACGTCGAGTGTCGCTAAATTTTCATCAGACCAGTAACAACTCCGGCCGAAATTATAGACAACTAGCAGTAATCTGGTCAGATGATGATGATGATGAGGAGGAGGAGGATGATGATAGGCAGTATGCTGTTGTGAACAAAGACAAGGGAGAATGGAATGGCCATTTCTGGCTTAGTAGCCGTCGTCAGCCAGTCATATCCAACCCCGAAGTGTGGAACACCCGAGGCTCGAACTCGCGACCTGTTAGTTAGAAGTCCACGCCTCTAACCACTGGGCCACGAGCCCGTTGCCCTGTCGGTTTCGATCGGAATATACAATGATAGGGAGCGCTCACCGATCCTGATGATGATGATGATGATGATGATGATGATGATGATGATGATGATGATGATGATGGTGATGGTGGTGGTGGTGGTGGTGGTGGATAGAGTGGATGAAAAGGAGGTCAAGGGGTGCCGTATCACAAGAGGGGGGAGAAAGGAAGGCGCAGAACCTCCTTTCATGTAAAAAACAGGTTTTTGGCGAGATACCAGACTACTTCACCTTTGACAATTTCGTCCCGTTTTCTTTTGCCGAATTGCTGGTTTTAACGTGCCGGGAACAACACACCTGGACAATTCCCACTTTGCTGGCGTGCCCTGATGTCGTGCTCTACTGTCAGGTCATTTTACATTTTGAACTCCAATATTATTTACTAACCGGTTTTACTTACGGATTTTAATACTTAGGACCCGGGAGATCCTATTCATTTATTCGTGAGAACATCATCATTTACGTCAGGTTAACCAAACTTCGACCACAATAAATGCGAGACTTGCTCCGGTTTATGTGATCTGGTCGTCATCATAGTTTACACTCCACACTATCTTCCAGAGTTTGCATCAGAAAGGTCACGTAAATAGTCAGGGACCTTCTACCTAACGCTATTCATTTGATACAACACGTCGGGTCTTAAAATAGAGCATGTTTTAACCAGTAGAAAAGAAATAATTGCCCCTCTAAGCTTATTTCGGGAAAAACGTCTAAGTTTTAGGTCTAAATATTAAGTCAAAAATTCTAATAATTCGCCAGGATACCTACCGGACGACTTGACTGTACTTCCACCAGCAAGTTTTGTTTTTTTGTAACTCACCATTATGACAGCCGAAGTTTGAGGCTTGTACATATGCACGCAGAGCATGTTTAACCCCTCGATGGGAGTGGTTTGTTTTGTCCAACATATCGGGCATTTTAATTGTTTAATGAATAGCGTTGAGTCGCGTACATTTGGGTTAGGCGAGGTATGGTCGTTATCAGAGTCAGTGCACTTTGACGATGTAAAAGCCAAGGGATGACAAGACGTAGTCATCACAACCGGTGGACTATGCAGTCGTCGGTTCACGTAAGTGCGGTCTTGGCAAGCCCAGACGTTGTACCGAATTTCCTAGTCGAGTGGGTTGAGTTTTGTAGGTGGCTGAAATTAACGGCCGTAGAGTCTTTTCGCAATAATTAATCACAAGAAGTGTCAACTCGAAGGTTTGCGTTAAGGCTGCATGCGCACAAAACAGATGTAGTAACCGACACCACTTTAGGCGTTCCAAATAGTTTTGAAAAAGTTACATTAAGATAGAACTCTCGGGGTCGATTGATCAAGCGCTAGGACATCGGGAAACTGAATGTTGGGATCCAAAATCAAACCCAAATGCCAAACACTTATGCGAAATTTGTCTTGGACTATGTTTTCTGTTGTGAAATGTGATTCCATGGTAATAACAAGTTCTAAGTGAACTATTCTGAGAGTGTCCCTATTGTGTCATTTTTTACTGCGTGTAACCTATTACCCGTAAAAATACTTCCAGGCGTCTGTGCATGATTTATATGTCTTTTATGATGTGCCGAAAATGAGTCCTTATTTAATGGTTGTAATCCAAATAAGCGTTTTTAATCGTCCAACTAGGAGCATCAGAAATCCACCTGGATTTTTCATAGCTATTTTGGCAGATTTCGAACAATTCTTATTGACCCACCTGTGAAAAACTCGGTGCCTCGGTGCGATTCGAACCCACGACAGTAAGAGGAAGGCTCTAGCACAGCCAACGCTCTAACCAATTGAGCTACGAGGCCCTGCCGGACGACGCGAGTTTGATCACATTTGGGTCAAGTTACCCCCTTAACCTACTGCAACGTCTGGAATCCACCAAATCTGATCCAGTACGTTGACCGTCCAAGCAGAATTTCCTAAGTAATTCACCTAGAATCCACCAGATGACTACCAGGCTCACGTAATTCATAGGTATTTTGGCAGAGTTTGAATAGGATTTTGTAAATAATCACTGTAGCTGGTTTAGACCTGACCTCGTTTTACAGTGTGTTCTAAAATGTATGGCATCCTTAGTGAGAGTTGGAGCCATTCAGGTTGTTAATGCAGAATTCGTCCCGGCATTGTCTCATAATCTAAGCAGTTTTTTTTCTTAGCCCTTCGTTGTGTGCCTCTTAAAACATCGTTTTCTAACGTGCTCTTTTTCTTGTCAAGACGAGGCCTGGAATTGTCAATGCCGACTACCAATCTCGTCCAGATTTTGCATTTACAAGACTCCATAACTGACGATTTAAAGCCATTGTTCTGTTCACTTTTATAGACAACGTCATAAGTCTAGTTGCAAATTATTTTCAAATAGTAAGGCAGAAGAGTGCGGATGGACATAAATGCCGGAGGAGGACACCATGTCAGTCGCCGACTGGGGGTCCTGGGGGGGGAGGTCGTGACTTTCATGCGGTACGAAGAACTTCCGGTCACCAGTTAGACAGTGGGGAGATTTGCGGCATCTGATAAAATGTTTGTTGAAATTTTGAAATGTTTACTCGAGTGGCAAGGATAACCTATGCGGAATTGTAATACTGATTACCCTACGGCATAATCCAGAGACATTTCATCCATGACAAAATATCGGCTTTTGATTGTTTTTCTTTTTGGCCGCCTCTAAAGACCACATCCTTCAAAAACTGACTACTGAAGCATTATGACTCTTCTCCAATGATGGTAATGTCTTCATAATTTTGTATACATTACGAAAAATGCATATAATGTTATTCTTTTATTATTTTTGTAGAAAATCACGACTTTCTCAAGTTGTACCCTCAAAGAGGGAACATGATTTAGGTTAGAAAAAATTTCTGACCATGTACTCTTGTAAAACTGGTAAAAGTCCATTCATATGGGACCGTGGCTGTCAGTTTACGAATGCTGATTTTGAAGCACATAACGTAATAAACACCTATTGAAGAAGTTTACGAGTGTTATGTAACGACTTTTTAATTGAACAGATACATGTGCCATTTCGAGGTGTTTTGGCAGATTTTTAAAAATTTACTTTGACCCATTTGTGAAAAGCTGGTTGCCTCGGTTGGATTCGAAATCACGACAGCGATGGAAGGCTTTAGTATAGCCAACGCTCTAACCATCTGAGTAACGCGGTTCCACCGGACGACGCGAGACTGGTAGTCACCTGGTGGATTCTAGATTTTTTAAGTAGGAAATCGTGCTTGGGCAGTCAGCTTACACTATCAGATTTGGTGGATTCCAGACGTTTCATTAAGTTGAGCGGATAAACTTAACCAAATATGATTAAACCCTCCTCGTTTGGTGGGACCTCGTGCACCAGACGGTTAGGGCGTTGGATATACTAAAGCATTTCCTTGCTGTCGTGGTTTCGAACCCCATTAAGGCACCGCGTTTTTCACAGTTACGTCAAAGGGAAATGTGCCACTGTACTTATACGGACGGTACCCAGCATGTAGTCTCAGAACCCGAAGCTCATATGCGGCTGACGGTCAAATTCGGGAATCCAGGGTCTTAAAGATACAAAGATATTAGTTTTCAAGTTAAAAATTTTAAAAAGTAACTTGCTGCCGATCGAACGTAAAAAATGGTGTTTTTGCACATTTTTTCTAAAAAATGTTTGAGTTTAGTAAGGGCATCAAAAATGAACGCGAAAAAGTCATGTTGCTTAAGTGGCCACATTTTTCCAAATGTGTATTTTCTGCGGGGAGCAACAAATAAGCTCATTCAAAAGCCGACACCCTAGCGGGACTGAATTATGTTGCGCTTTATGCCGCATGAAGATGAAGACTACAACCCCACCTAAGTAATCCTTTCTAAATGGCGTACCTTGCTCACTTTCGGTCATCATTTAATAAGACAGGACAGATACTGTGACAAGCGTGAACCTCGTCCAGCCCTGCACAAACGCCCACTTCCGGTCGTCTTGGCATTACCGGAATGGCATCGTCAACAAAGACGCAGGATGGTCATTTCTGGCTGATTGGCCCTCATCAGTCAACCGGGCCTCCGAGGATCGGATTTGTGACCTTACCATTGTGCCACGGGCTCGTTTTCCTGTCTGTTGTGATTAGGTACATTAGGTAGGCTAACTCATGAAAGGACCACCGAAATTCTGAACTGCGTCTTCGGTTCGAAAAAGTAAGGCTGTAAAACTAGCCAGCCTGCAACATAATTCTATTAATATTTCAGTTACCTCAGGATGCCGGCCTTCGAATGAACTTCCTTTCATTTGGATGTAAAAGCTACAATCTGTAAAAATACTACGTAAGTAGCATGCATTTCGTCATTTATTTTCGATGTCCTTAGAAATTCAACTAGATTTTACGGAAAACACGCATAGCAGTATTCATTCTTTCACTAGAAAATTGCGTCGTCTTTCAATCTAATACTTGAAGGAAGGGCATAATTCGGTTTTCAAAAACTATTCCAATCCCCGAATAATTTTGAACCCGTTCTACCGTTGCACTTGGATTCAGGGTTTCCAAACTACAAGCCGCATATTTTCCGCGTTCGAAAAACCACACATTTCTCTAAAACAGTAAAGAAGGATCATATAGGGTTCATAAAATTTAGCAGTGGATTTGATCCATGTTGTTACTTTACAGGCCACATTGGTAAATGCCATTTCCACAGAATTTTAAAGTCCAACATTATAAACTTTTTCGAAATTGAAATATGTCCTTCCCTCGAGCAAAAAATAAGAAGAAGATGAAATTTTCTACCGAATGAGTAAAAAATAAATATTTTTATGCATTTTTTCCATGGAATATAATAAAATTTTCAAGGGCATTTAAAGTCGATGACAAAAATCCATGCTACTTACGTAGTCACTTTTACAGAGTGGCCCTTTTGTATGCAGCCAAAATGAAGTTCTTTCGAAAGCCGGCATCCTGAAGTAACTGGATCATTATAGGTTTATGCTGCAGCATGATTAGTCTTACAACCCTACTTAATTAATCTTTTCGAAACGAAAAGGCATTTCGGATTTTAGGTTGACATTTCATGAGTTAGCCACCTATTGTATATTATAAGTGGTAGAGCGGAGTTTGAATTCCGTAACGCGATCGGTTCGCGCCCTTCTCTACTAGCATCCTGCCTATATTACGC